GACGAAGTACACTGCTGAGGGGAGCAGCGGGAGGGCCAGGAGAGGTCTGCCACACCATGTGGTCACCTCCGGGACAGGCGGGAACTGAACTCATGCGGGAACCGAACTCATGCGGAAGTGGTTTCAGCTTCTCTGTGCTGTGCTCTAACCTGCTGCGCCACCAGGGAGGGCCAAAAGTTTTTATTTTTATTTAAAAATAAAAAGTTTCCCTAAGGAGATTGAGGGCATTGCTCTCTCATCTTTTTACAATCAGTGTTATATTCTAGAAATTATTCCACTCAGGATATTTGTGAATAAACATTTTCCCTCTTTGAAACTTTTAAGCCCTTATTTTAAATACACAGAATTAGGGCAATTTCATGATTTTCTTTGAAGTCATCTTTTATTTATTCTCCTCAGTGCTTTCAGTTAGAAAGCAGTCTTGCTGCAGTCATAGTTTCTGGAATGTCATATTGACTGTGTGGACTGGTATGCCTCTATTTTCTTAGACTTTGTCTCCTAACTTTTCTCTTGAGAATCTTATTTTAGCTGCTGTATTTTAATTATAACTGTACTGTTCACCCCTCACCACAACATTTTCTTTTGGTTCTATATGGTATATTCTCATTTATCTTTAAAGATAAGTTCAGAATGTTTTAGAAAATCCTGTCCCCCAAAAGTTCTGTAATCTTTGTCTTTTAGCCTGTTTTTTTTTTTTTTATGCTGGTGGTTTTTGTTGTAGGGAGCAATACTTAGTTCCCTGTTATTTTTGTTGCTTTTTTTCATTAAAAAATATATTTCCCCCATCTTTTGAGTATGTGACGCTTTTGAGTTGATGGTTTTCTCCACTATGTGTCTGAAGTCTGCTTCTCTCACCACTGCTGAGAGCTGAAGCATCAACTGGTCAGCCCAGTGCATGGGCTGGGTGCTCCCATGCCTCACACTGCTGCTTCCCTCCTTGCCAGCCCTATTCTCCCCCCCCCAGTTGCTTTATACCAGATAGTGGGTTCCTAGTCCCTTCTGGTGGGGCTTCCACCAGCCCAGCTTTTTGCTGCTGCTTTTGTGGTTATTTTGCTTTGCCCCTGGCATCTTTGTGAGTCACAGGAGATCAGGAAATGACCTATCCCAAAGTGACATTTTACACTAGCTCCTGGAAACATCCCCTGTCTGACTTCCCTCTTGGTTTGGCTCCTCCCCCTGTTGTGCAAGACACTGCAGTGTGCGGTACTTGCCCAGATTTGGAATTAACACATTATGTAAGACAGACTGGGAGAATGTTATTTGTTACAGTGAGCCTGAGAGGCTCTCTCAGGTGTCCACTGCACACAAGTTCCCAGGCAGGGAAGCTTGGTGGGGCTAGTCACTGTCTGGGTCTGTTTGCACTGAGCATTGGTGTGTTTGCTGATGTTTATCACCTTGGATAACTGGGGTTGAAACTGGGTTATGCTTGTACCTTTGTAGAACTAGCCAACTAAATAATCCTCCTAGAAATAGGGTGCAAGTGGGGCTGCAGCTCATAGGCAGCCCCTCAGAGTCCACACATAAAGCCTGTTGCTATTTTAGTTTGACAGTAGGACATGTGTATGTGTGGGGCCACTTTCCTGTGTGGTGTCTCTGTCTCAGTCTTTTTCCCTCCTGTCACAGCTCAGAAATTTCTCTGTGAAATCACCTTGTTGTGGTAACTGGGAACACCATCTCTCCTCTACCCATCTTTTATTTATGGATATTTAAAATACAGTTAGGTTATAGAATCAGATTCCATGGGCCTACAACTTCAGTTTGTAAGACCTGTTACTGTGAGTCTTTTCTTTTCAGACATTTTGTAAGCATTTAATGAACATTAAGCAACATGGGAGGGCATCTCCAAAATGTTTTGACACCACACACCAGATAGAAAGTCCTAAGTTCTTACTTCCAATGTCCATTACATTAACAATGTAGTATATAAATACTATCATAAAATGATTTGTATATTCTAGAATGTCTAGATTTTAGAATTTTAAAAAGAAGTGAAACAAAATATAAGTAAGATTTCTGTTTTCTTTCCTCTTCCAATTACCGATCTGATGAACCTCTTGGGGCACATGTCCTATAGATCCACTAGCCTGGCATATGGCATGAAGGAACAAACTCTTTGGTCTAGTAACTCCCAGTGCAGCAAGGAAGAAAGTGTCCCAGAGGAAAGAACACATGCTAAGGCTAATAAAGCTGACTTCTCAGAAAACAAGGATAAGACATAAAATAATGGGAACTGGCCTGCCTCTTCTCGGGTGAGACTCAGCTGTGGCCATAGGGGCAGTGTGGCAAAACATGGCAGGAAGCACCAAGGCCAACAGTGTAGGTGTGCAGATACTGTGGACAGCAGGGTGGGATTGAAACCTACCGCAATGGCTCTGCCATGGGGATCAGTCTTCTGTGGCTGAAGAAAGATTGTTGATACAAAACGGGTAGTTTCCACACAGCTCTCTATGCTACCAGCTATGTTATGTTAAAACTTTACTTGAAGGAGATAGCAGTGCTCAGTGCAGGTTGCTTAAGTGTAAATTGGTTGATACAATTTCTTGGTTGAGAATGCCTGGTGACCCCATTGACGGTTTTGCATCTCGTTATCCCGCCTGTGTGGTCAGGCCACTTGGCCACCTTTCACCCTCCCCTTTTTGGAGCACGGTAGTCACTGCCTTCCCAACATGAAATGATTCCTGTCTTCCAGGTCTCAGTGGCTCTCAGCAGCAGTTCCATCCGAGTGGCAGTGCTGGAGGAAGGTGGGGAACGTGTCCTCATGGAAGGGAAGTTCACCCACAAGATCAACACTGAGAGTTCGCTTTGGAGCCTGGAGCCTGGAAAGTGTGTCTTGGTAAGTTTGGGTCTCTGGCTGCACTCCCAGGGAGGTTCCACACCCACCTGGATACTGTAATGACCGTGATACCCACTTTGTATTCAGTAGTAAAACTGTGGGTTCAGCAGCTGGACAGCTCCTAGGCTGTTTGTGCACCACTCCCACAAGGGTGCCTTTGTGGGCTTTAACTGACTGTCACTGGTGCAATTCTAGTCTTGACCCCATGAGTCCCGCCACCTGGTTTATTTGAGGGATTGGTGCCAGCCCGAAACTTAAGGACTCTTGAGTGCTGTGGATCCTGCTGGCCAGGGCATATGGCATGAAGGAACAAACCCCTAGGTCCAATAACTCTGAGTACAGCAAGGAGGAAAGTGTCCCAGAGGAAAGAACACATGCTAAGATTAAAGCCAACTTCTCAGAGAACAAAAAAGACAAGACATAAAACTAGGGGAACTGGCCTGGTCACATGTGACCACAGAAGAGATCTTGGAATGTTGGGTCATTCTGAGAGCGTGGTGTATACAAGGAGGCTGTGCCCCTTTAATCCTAGAGGCTCAGGCTCTTCAGTGGTCTGTTAAGTTAGGCAGAAAGTAATAATTTTAATAAGTTAAATCTTAGGTTTAATTTAACAGGTTGAATTTTATGGATGTCAGTCTAGAGGATGCCAGTTAATAAGTTCAAACTTAATAGCAATAAAGTGGTTTCAGGCAGAGCTGAGGAGTTTGAACCTGTGTGAATGTTGCCCCAGTAAGGAAAATCTTTGAGTGTGCCAGCTCCCTCCTGTTAGAGCCTTGGCCTGGTCAGAAGTCAGTGTCTGGTGGTGGCTTCCTAAAGCACTTAACAGGTTTGGATCAACTTTTTCCTCTTCCCTCCTGCTGGGGTACTTAAACAGACTTGGTAAAAAACATATAAGTCATTGGACAAAACACATTGAGAATTTTATGTGTGTATTCTTCATATTTGTAAAGCATGCCATGCAAGCAAGGCATGCAGGGATTCTCTTGGCTGCCAGCAGCTTGCAGAGACATAGAAACCAGATAGAACAGATACTTTTTTTTCAGTGCTGGTGTGGCTGGTGGATTTCAGCAGGCCTCCCCCTCTTACCCCCTTCCAGAGCCCCCTTTGCATCACCATGACACCAGGAGGCTAAACTGACAGCTATGGGACACTGGCACAGAGAGCTCTGACTATCCCACCTTGTCAATTTCACTTGATTCTTGTTCTAAACTTTGCTCTGCCCTAGCCCTGCTCCTCCAACCCCCTCCACACACACTCAGCAGCCTGCCCTGACGTGCCCACTTGAAGACTAGATGAGGAGAGTACTTTTTTCTCCATGAGTGCTGTGATGATAATGATGCTTTCCCCCTGCTCACCTGGGTCTCAGGCCTTTACCGTCCCCATGTACCTCCCCACTCCCAGAGTGCCTAAAACATTCTCCAAACTACAGTCACATGTATCACTGTTGCATAATGTTGTGCCACTAATTCCTTTCATTTCCACCACACTTTATTTTTGTGGTCTCATTTTCCCTTTATAAAGTGTGGAGAGTAAGAAAGTTAATCTAGGCCCTCCCTGGTGGTGCAGTGGTTAGGATGTAGCACTGCAAGCAAGCCACAGCCGCTTCAATGTGAGTTGGATCCCCGGCCCCAAGGTGACCACATGGCACGGCAGACCACTTCTGATCTGCCCGCTACTCCCCTCAGCAGTGTACTTCATCGATCTGCTTGTTCTCCTCCCCACTCTATCTCTGGTGAATCCTTTCACCGGCCTGTACCCCAGTTCTGTATGCATAAATTAGTAAATCTTAAAAAAAAAAAAAGTCAATCTAGGCCTAGTCTCCTGACCTTAGGTCTCTGAGGTGACAAGAATGCTTTGTCCAGGTGTTATCCTTGGGCAAGGTGGCCATGCCCTGTGTAGGAGCCCACAGACACCTGGTTCCGGTCTCTATATTGGGACCAGCTCTTTGTGCTGATTGGCACTGAGGCCATAGGAGGATACGCAGCCTGCCCAGTGAGCCCCACTCTGAGCCCACAGTCAGTTCCCTGTTCTTCTGTCTGAAAGATTCCCTACACAGGGTAGTGAGGAGACAGGCTAGTGTGGCTAGCATGTGAAAGGCAGCCCCATTGAGTGGATGTCTAGAAACAGGTGTGTAGTTTTCTCTTGCTGGTCTTACTGAGCTCACCTGTGTGGGGCCTATGGCTAACTAGCCTCTGATGTGCTCTGATTGCCTTTAATTTTCTGGTTTGCTTTGGTCAAAAGCTTGCTACTTGAGGATTTATAAAAAGGCAGAACTGGCAGCAACCAGAAGCCACTTGCCATTGGTTGCCCTAAGTGTGGCTTCCAGGTATCTTCCCTGCTTACCACGTCAGGTCTGTGCAGAGCCCTCTCAGAGTGCAGGCACTGCACAAGTTCTTTCCATATTTTCTAGAGTCGTTTTGATCATCAGTAGATGGCATTTCATTTCTAACACAGCTTTTCGTCTCTTGTAAAAGGAGGAGGAATTAAGAGCATGACAGTCCTTTTCTGAAGCTTTCCTGTCAGCACAGACCTTGCACAAATGGAAACCACTTCTGTTAATAAGCAGAACTTCTCGTTTCTGACCTGGCCTCTGTTTAGTGAATGTATGTGTTACAGAAACATTGCTATTTATGAAGCTCAAATTTGGTGCATTCTTGATTTAGCTGTTGGCAACATTTCGGAGCAAACTTTTCTTCAGCTCATGTATCTGAGGTGATAGTGTAGTTCAGCAAGCATGTTGCTTTGATAAATAAAGACAGTGTTTACATTTGCTGTGAGGGGCAGACACTTCCCTCAAGTCTCTGGTAGTGAGGGTGTGATCACCAATCTGACTTTATACCTCAGCTCACATTCACTGACCACTTGGCTCTGGTCATGGCTTTTGCCTCCCAGGCTCTCTTTATTGTTCACAGTTGAGACTGGGCGCTGATCCTCAGATTTACTGTTATATGCCAGGCTTCCTACTAAGTTCCTGAAACAAATCAAGGAACTTAGAATCTTTGAAGGTGAGGTTAAGTGAAGGATCTTGAGACAAAGAGATTGTCTTGGATATCCAGGTGGACCTGAAGCCTAGTAAAAAGTATACTTGTTAGAGAAAATGAGGGAGAAATTAGAAGAAACAGGCACATCTTCACTTCAGAGTACAGGGCAGAGACAGGGGCAGTAAGGTTATAAGCCATCCCCTTTAGCCTTCAGGGGAGCATGGCCCCTCAATACTGACCTTTGGCCTCCAGACTGGGAAGACACACTTGTCTGCAGCGGCCAGTATGTCCTGCTCTGCAGCTGCCCCAGGGACTCTTGCACAGGCTTCATGTAGCAGGCTCACCATGTGGGATATAGGAGGAGGTACTCAGGGTGGGTCAGCCTCTTCAGAGCCCTTTATCCGAACCTCTGACCTCCTGACCACCCAACAGACCTGTGCAAGGTGTCTTCATAGCCACCTTCCCTCCTACCTGAACTGTGGATCCACATCTGACATGACCGGGCAGGCTTTCAGAGCAGGCAGGGGTGGCAGCTAAAACCGTGTGACAGTCTCGCCTCCCTCCCTCCCACACTGAGAATGTTAAATGAGGCTCTTGACTGTCAGGCAAGCTCCTGTCTTGGTTACGAATTCGTGAAGTCAGCCGTAGCAACAGCCCCAATCCCTTCCCCTGTGCTTCCCTTTGTCCCAGAATTCTGGGTGTCCACTCATTGCCCTTCAGGTGAGGCTGCTGGCCTCTCACTGCATATAGTTTATGTGGCCATAGCCTTGTATGTGACAGAGCTGCTCCACTGTTGACATGGCACACACACAAGTCATTAAAATCAGTATGGTAATTGCGGAGTTCATCTGACCAGTCTGAGCTCACTGCAGTGTGTGTCGTTTTTGAACCTGTATTTTTGTGAAATTTTTACTTAAATTATTTAGATTATTTCCCTAAGTTAATAGTTCTCAAAAGTAGAGTTACAGGCTGACTGTAGTTCTGAGTATTTGCCGTGTACTCTCTCAGAAGGATGCTATCTTTCTGTGGTATTCCTAGATCCCCATGTGCCCAACAACATTGGACTTGATCATCTCAACTTGACTTTTCTGGTTTATCTCTTTCTTTTGGCTTTCTAGTGAGGATGTGAGTTCCCCCTAAAGTGGTTCAGAATTACATATTCTCACTGGTGAACCATCCCTGTGAGAACATCATCATGCGTTACCATCCTTCTTCCTAAATTCAGAGTGGAAACTATGGTATAGTTGTGTTAGCATTTTTTTTTTTTGTAAAGATTTATTTATTTATACAGAACTTGGGTACAGGCCAGATATGCGGAGAGTGAGAGGATTCACCAGGAACAGAATGGGGAGCAGAACAGGCAGGTTGACGAAGTACACTGCTGAGGGGAGCAGCGGTCTGCTGTGCCATGTCTATCACCTCCAGGGCAGGCGGGGATCGAACTCATGTGGAAGTGGCTTAAGCTTCTTAGTGCAGTGCTTTAACCTGCTGCACCACCAGGGAGGGCCTGTGTTAGCATTTTGCCAGAATCCTAAGCCCTAGGAATTAGTCCTTGGACTGAAATACGAATCCTTCATCTTTTATGCTGAACCTCTAGGGGTGATCAGGGTCCTTGGCTTATTCCCGATCCCTGCTTCCGAGGAGGGAAGAACTGAGCCTTGGGGGTTAAGAAGAGTAGATTTTACAGCTTGCTACAGAAAACACCCAATGAATAGAAGGGGTGTGTTGAGCAGCGCCAGAGCATGGCGCTCCCAGTAGACAGAGCATAGTTCAGCACCCTTGGTCACCTCATGCTTGTAGTTTGTGGCTTTTTCTGCCTCCTGAGGATGAGAGGCCAGTGGGGACCTTCTAGCCATATTCACACCTGGGCATATATCTGACCCATAAGCACTTCAGTTTTCATCTTAAAAAGAAAATAGTTGACAATGTCATAAACCAGGAGAATGCCCAATACTGCCTCTGGCACATCGTAGGTCTGTGATCTGATCTATGTCCTCCCTAGAAGCTCCTCACTCAACC